ACCTATATAACAATCCTGCATGATCTGCACATGTACCCCAGAACTTAAAGTAATTAAAAAAACAAAAGAAATAATATCAAGCACCTTCTCTGATCACATTGGAATAAAACTAGAAATCAATAACAAAAATTTTGAAAACTATATAAACACATAGAAATTAAATATGTTCCTGAGTGACCAGTGGGTCAAAGAATAAATTAAGAAAGAAGTTAAAAATTATTTGAAACAAATAATAACAGAAACACAACGTACCCACACCTGTGGGACACAGCAAAAGCAAAACTAAGACGGAAGTTTATAGCTGTAAGTGCCTACATAAAAAAAGAAGAAAACTTCAAATAAACAACCTAATGATGCATCTTAAAGAATTAAAAAAGCAAGAACAAAACAAACGCAAAAGTAGTAGAGAAAAAATAAATAATACATAAATATCAGAGCAGAAATAAATGAAATTGACACACACACACAAAAAACAGATCAATGAAACAAAAGTTTTTTTTTTTAAAAGATTTAAAATATTGACAAACCTTTAGCCAAACTAAAACAAAAAAAGTGAGAAGACACAAATAAAATCAGAGATCAAAAAAGAGACATTAGAGCTGATACCAAAAAAATTCAAAGGTTCATTAGAGACTACTATGATAACGACATGCCAATAAATTGGAAAATATAGAATAAATAAATCATTCCTAGACACATAAAACCTAACAAAATTGAACCCTGAAAAAATTCAAAGCCTGAACAGATTAATAGCAAGTAGCAAGATCAAAGTTATAATAAAATGTCTCCCAGCAAATAAATGTCTGGGACCCAATGGCTTCACTGCTGAATTCTACAAAACATTTAAAGAAACACTGGAAATCCAAGATGACCAAATAGGAACAGCTCTGGATTGCAGTTCCCAGCAAAAATGCAGAGGGTAACTGATCACCACATTTACAAACGAATTTTTACTGCCCACAGACCAGGAGATTGCCCAGATGGAAAAGCACCACAAGTCTCCAGTACAGCTGTTTCAGCCAGCACAGCAGGTCTCAGCACAAAAACTCACACAAATCTGGGCACCATTGCAACGGGTGTCTGGAACGCCTGGGAGACACAGTCACCCATTCAACTGAAAAAAAGGGGGCTGAAAGAAGGAGCCAGGTGATCTGACTTGGCCAGTCCCACCCCCACAAAGACCAGCATTCTGAAACACTCTGGATTGAGAGTTTCACAGCAAGCACAGCTGAACCTGGGATGGTCCAGCTCTGTGGGGGGAAGAGCATCCGCCATTACCAAAGTAGTCCACCATTACAGAGGCAGTCCACCATTACAGAAGCAGTCCACCATTACTGAGGCAGTCCACCATTACTGAGGCAGTCCATTACTGAAGCAGTCTGCCATTACCAAGGCAGTCCACCATTACAGAGACAGTCTGCCATTACTGAGGCAGACCACCATTAGTGAGGCAGACTGCCATTACTGAGGCAGACTGCCATTACCACATGTTACACAGAAATACAAACCACCATCAGACATTACTACAAACAATTCTATGCACATAAACCAGCAAACATGGAAAAAATGGATAAATTCCTAGACACTTGTACCCTCCCAACACTAAAGCAGAAAGAAGTCAAATCCCTGAATAGTCCAATAACAAGAGCTGAAATTGAGTCAGCAATTAATAGCCTACCAACCAAAAAAAGCCCAGGTCCACATGGGTTCACAGCTGAATTCTACCAGACAAACAAGAGTAGCTGGTACCACTCCTTCTGAAACTATTCCAAACAATCCAAAAAGAGAGAATCCTCCCCAAATCATTTTATGAGACCAACATGATTCGATACCAAAACCCAGCAAAGATTCAACAAGAAAAGAAAACTTCAGGCCAATATCCATGATGAACATAGATGCAAAAATCTTCAATAAAATACTGGCAAACCAACTGCAACAGCACATCAAAAAGCTTATCCACCATGATCAAATAGGCTTCATCCCAGGGATGCAAGGCTGATTCAACATACGCAAGTCTATAAACATAATTCACCACATAAACAGAACCAAAGACAAAAACCACATGATAATATCAATAGATGCAGGATTATAAGGACACATGCACACATATGTTCATTGCAGCACTGTTTACAATAGCAAAGACTTGGAACCAACCCAAATGGCCATTGCACAGGGAAAATGTGGCACATATACACTATGGAATACTATGTAGCCATAAAAAATGATGAGTTCGTGTCCTTTGTATGGACATGGATGAACCTGGAAACCATCATTCTCAGCAAACTGACACAAGACCAGAAAATCAAACGCCACATGTTCTCACTCAAAAGTGGGTATTGAACAATGAGAATACATGGACACAGGGAGGGGAACATCACACATTGAGGTTTGTTGTGGGGGGACTAGGAGAGGGACAGGGTAGGGAGTTGGGTAGGGATAACACGGGAAGAAATGCCAGATATAGGTGATGGGGATGGAGGCAGTAAACCACACTGCCATGTATGTACATATGCAACAATCCTGCATGTTCTTCACATGTGCCCCAGAACCTAAAATGCGATAATATATATATATATATATATATATATATATATATATTAAAAAAAAAAGAAAAACCATTACCAATGCTACTCAAACTATTCCAAAAATAAGGAGGAAGAAATACTTTCAAACCCATTCTACAAGGCTAGTTTACCCTGATATCAAAACCAAAGACGTATCAAAAAAAGAAAACTATAGGCCAATATCACTGATGAATAGTGATAAAAATATTCTCAACAAAATACTAACAAATGAAATTAACAATACATTAAAAAGATTATTCATCATGACCAAGTGGGATGTATCCCAGGGTGTAAGGATTGTTCAACACATGTAAATCAATTAATGTGATACATCATGTAAACATAATGAAGGACAAAAATCATGTGATCATTTTAATTGATCAAATGCTGGAAAAGCATTTGATAAAATTCAATGAATCTTCATAATAAAAACCCTCAAAAAACTGGGTATAGAAGGAACATAATTCAACATAGTAAAAGCCATATATAGCAGACATGTAGCCAATATCATACTGAACTGGGAAAAAAACTGAAGCCTTTTCTCTAAGATTAGGAACATGACAAGGATGCCCACTTTCATCACTGTTATTTAACATAGCACTAGAAGTCCTAACCGGAATAATCAGATAAGAGAAAGAAAAAAAGGGCATCCAAATTAGAAAGAAAATGTCAAATTATCCTTGTTTGCATATGATATCATCTTATATTTAGAAAAACCCAAAGTCTCCACCAAAAAGACTATTAGAACTAATAAACTAATTTAGTAAAGTTGCAGCGTATGAAACCAACATAGAAAATCAAGAAAGAAATTCCACTTGCAGCTTGAATGAAATTAAATATGTAGGAATTAAATTACGCTAAGAAATGAAAGATCTCTACAAGAAAAACTATAAAACATTGATGCAAGAAATGGAATAACACACACAAAAAGGAAACCTATTCCATTTTCATGGATTTGAAGAACAAATATTGTTAAAATATCCATACTGCCCAAAGAAATCTATAAATTTAATGTGATCCCCAATAAAATACCAATGGCATTCTTCATGGAAATAAAAAAACAAAATCCTAAAATTTATATGGAACCACAAAAGACCCAGAATACCAATGCTATCCTAAGCAAAAAGAATTAATGTCATACTACCTGACATTGAGTTATAGTAACCAAAACAGTGTAGTACTGGCATAAAAAGAGACATAGATCAGTAACACAGAACAGAGAGCCCAGAGATAAGTCAATACATCTACAGTAAACTCTTTTTTGTCTAAGTTGCCAAGAACATTCCATGGGCAAAGAAGAGTCCCTTCAGTAAATGGTGCTGGGAAAACTGGATATCCACATGCAGGAGAATGAAACTAGACTCACATCTCTTGTCATATACAAAAATCAAATCAAAATCGATTTAAGACTTCAAATTATTAAACTACTAAAAGAAAATAGTGGAGAAAATTTCCAGGACATTGGACAAAGGGAAAAAGGTCTTAAATAATACCCAATAAGCACAGGCAATCAAAGCAAAAATGGATAAATATGATCACAAGTTAAGAAGCTTCTACAGAGCAAAGGAAACAATAAACAAAGTAAAAAGACAACCCACAGAATGAGAGAAGATATCTGCAAGCAACCCATGTGACAAGAGATTAACAATTAGGATATATAAGTAAAGCAACCCTATGGGAAAAAAAATCCAATAATCTGGTTAAAAAATGAGTGAAAGATTTGGATAGACATTTCTCAAAAGAAGACATACAAATGGCAAACAGGTATATGAAAAGATGCTCAAAATAATTGATCATCAGAGAAATGCAAAATTAAAACTACAATGAGTTATCATCTAATCCCAGTTAAAATGCCTTATATCCAAAAGAGGCAATAACAAATGCTGGTGAGGATGTGGAGAAAAGGCAACCCTCGTACACTGTTGGTGAGAATGTATATTAGTGCAACCCCTATGGAGAAGAGTTTGGAGGTTTCTCAAAAACCTAAAAATAGCGCTACCATACAATCCAGCATTCCCACCCATAGGTATATATCCAAAAGAAAGGAAATTAATATATGCAAGAAGTATTTGCATTACCATGTTTATTGCAGCAGTATTCACAATAATAAGGATTTCGGATCAACCTAAGTGTTCATCAACAGATGAGTGGTTAATGAAAATGTGGTATGTATACACAATGGAATACTAGCCAATAATAAAGAAAGAACAAGATCCTGTCATTCACAACAACATGGATGGAACGAGAGGTTATTATATTAAGTGAAATAAGTCAGGCACAAAAAGGCAAACTGCATGTTCTCATTTATTTCTGGGAGCTAAAACTTAAAATAATTAACTCACAGAGATAAAATACTATTGCGTTGTTTGTAACATAAAGGATAAACGCTTGAGGTGATGGATACTCCCTTTCCACGAAAACAAAAAAAATAAAAAAAAAAAAATCATACTGATGGATCTCCCTTAGCTCTCCGAGAGCTCTAACAACATTTAGAAAAGCTAGTTTCCATGAGTCTAGACAAAAGTCTCTTTTCCTTCATGTAGTGTTCCTACCAGGTAAATGTTGAAAAAACTAAGGGATCTGTACCATGAAAAATTGCTAGTAGTTCAATCATCTGTAGTTGTTTACCTATACAAAAACAGCTCCTTATGTTCAAGTGAGAAATTTATGATAGAACACTGAGTAAAGTTCTTGTTATGTATGACCCTGCATTTTTTCTAGATCATTTTCATGCACAAATTTCAGCCCAACCTTGACTGAACATACAAGGATATTAAAGTTGTTTGCAGGGGTATCTGCACATGTGCATGTGTGCATTGTATGTTTTCTGGCTCTTGGTCTTCCCTACACAATGATATCGTGCAAAATCACAAAATCAAAAGAGTTCTAAAAATTGCAGACTTTTTGCAAGTCAAGAAGTGGCAAAAACCTGACATGAACTGATACAAGGCTATTTATGGTGCTCTTTGTCTTAATAAGAAATATGAATATTCATGCTTTACTGCAAAAATAGTCATTAACCTAGCTACAGAGCCCACTGGTAACATTATGTAATATATAGTTCTGAACCACGTTACCTTTTAAAAATCTGAAACCTAGCTGGTTCTAAGTTACAGATAATGGGTTGTGGGCCTCTATATCCTCTGACAACTCTCATCCATCAGGCGGTTTTCACGTCAAGAGCAGTTCTCTATTAAATCAGGTACACCCATTAAATCTGACTACGATTTGCATACATATACTCCGTAAGTCTGAGTTTTAAAATTCCAGAGATAGTCAATTAATCCACTCCATGAGAGTCCATTTCACAAGCAGAAGGGTTTCAGGTTTTATGGGTATGATAGGCAGAATAATGGTCCACCAAAGATGTCTATGTCCTAATACTCAGAACCTGTAAATATGTTACCTTAAATGGCAAAAGAAACTTTGCATATGTGAGTAAGTAAGGGATTCTGAGATGGAAGATTACCCTGGATTATCCATTGGTCCAATATAGTCATAAAGGGTCCTTATAGGAGGGAGTTAAGAGATCAGTCAAAGAATGAGACATAAGGACAGAAGCAGAAGTCAGAGAGAGATTTGAAGACACTACACAGCTGACTGTAGATATATATAGCAAGGATGCACAAGCCAAGGTACATAGGCAGCCTCTAGGAGGCTTGAAAAGGCAAGGAAACAAATTCTTCCCTAGAGCCTCTAGAAAGAATGGAGGCCAGACAACACCTTCATTTTAGCACAGTTATACCTGTTTTAGACTTTTTGCCCCTAGAACTGTAAGAGAATAAATTTGCGTTGTTTTAAGCTACTAAATTTGTGATAATTTTTATTGATAGGAAATTAATAGAGTGGAACAGTTAAGATAGAAATGCCAACATTAACCCCTGAGGTTTAGCCAGACTAAGTCAATAACAGACTTTTTCCCTGAGGTATAAAAAATAGTTCCCTCTAGAATTTATAAGCCCTCCTTCTGCTTTGAAGGAGTAAAAAAAAAAACATTATAAACAACATAAAAGTTTTCTTTTTCATTTTTTTCTTTTCTTGATTGGAAACTTGAAAATCAAGGTTTGTATGAAATCAGAAATGTTTTACACTTTTTATTACTTGATAATTCAATCTATAGACATAATAACATAGAGGATCTAATAATTCAGAAGCTCAAGGAAAATTAGAATACTGAAAAGTCATAAATAAATATAGGAAATACAATAAAGGCACTGTAATACTATTTTCTAATAACTACTCTAAGTGGTTTACAGTTGTCTCATGTACTACCTCTATGATTACAAAATAAAACCACAGCTCTTTTTTGTTTTAGATTCTCCCTAAATTCTGAGAACATTATATTGAAACAGTATGACATACCAGATAGCTTCAGCCTAGTTTATGTGATCATCCATGCAAATCTCTGTGGTTGCCTGAACCATTGCTTTGTTTCAGCTCCTGGTTTCTACAAATATCTGACAAACAAAAAGATGATCTCTCAGAATTACGACAGTCTGTAAGAACTCATTCTCCCAGGATTCAAAAGCATTTTTTTTTAATCTCACATAGATTAAAACAACTTTATTTAAAACAACTAACAAAAGGAAAATGATTTGGTTAATATAATTCACTTTAATCTTCCAACTTTCTTCACAGTTCAGCTTACAATTGGTAATTCGAGAGGACCTGCCTTCTTTCTAAAAAAAAAAAATAGAAAAGAACCTCCAAACCTAGTGAGCAAAAGCAACAAGACGCAGCGGCCACAAAGTTTATCTACCTCTTGGTATTCTGTCTTACTGATTTCTGTGTCCTGGGTTGTTCCTCTCTTTCCCTGAAGCTCTTTCTGAGAAGGACTGAGGATACCTTCTGTGGGTTCCCTTCAGCACTGATAAACCCCGTTGGTACTTCAAAGGGATGTTTTGTTAGATGCTATATTCATCTGCTCAGGCTATGATAACAAAGTACCATAGACTAGGTGGCTTAAATAAGAAAATTTTATTTTTCACAGTTCTGAAGTAGTCTAAGAGGTTAAGGTGTCAACAGGTCTGGTATTTTCTGAGGCCTCCTCCCTCTTTTGCTAACAGATGGTCACCTTCTATGGTTTTTCTGTGCACACACATCCCTAGTATCTCTTGTGTGTCCAAATTTCCTCTTCTTTTAAGAACACAAACCAGATTAAAATAGGGCCTATCTTAATGGCCTATTTTACTTTAGACATCCTTTAAAGGCCCATCTCCTAAACAGTCATACTCTGAGGTACTAGGGGTTAGAGCTTCAACATAGGAATTTGGGGAGGGTGGCATAATTTTGCCCCTAAAAGATGTTGAAACAGAAATGGAAAAAGAAACTAAAAATGGATCAAAAAGATAAAACAATCCAACTTATACAAATGTAAATTTGTTGTTGCTGCTCAATTGTTTTTACCTAACTGGCCCTTAAAACCTGGCCCGTTCCATACTCCTGACACAGAGAAAAGAGAATCTCAGTATCTTAGTCTCAAAGGGTCAGTTCAAAGCCACCAGCTTCAAACCATAAATCCTTCTTCACAAATCACAGGAGGTCTAACACAGAGAATATTTTAGGACCTAGCAGTCTTTCAGTCCCTGTGATGCCTCCATGGTCCAAGAAGGATTCTAACACTAATGCCTAATAAATGTCCTCCCACTCCTAATTTCTGGTCTCAGGGACAAGCCTCTCTCCTAAATAAACAGCAGCTCTATGAGGACTTTATCCTCAGGGTGTGACTTAGCCTACTTTGTACAGAAATGTGTCTTATTGCAATACCAGGTTGAGCAATATAGAAAAATCTTTTAATCATGCAATAAAAAGTATGCATCTCAAAGAACTGTACAGGTGCAGATACAAGCACAAGCAAGACAGCAGCTTGACTGTCACCATAATAAACCAAATACGAAAACTGAAAATTCATTATTATGAGATGGTGCTATAAAACTAGTCGTTATGAAATAAAATTCAACATAAGATGGCTCTCTTCAAATCTATTCCAAAACCTTTAGTTACAGAGAAAATCATTAGAAAATGGTCACTTCACACCAGAATTCTAAGTTAATTTCTAACCTCCTCAACTGGACTTATCATGAGATCATTATATACAGACAATGAGAATCCATAATTCATAATCATAGCAGTTCTGGCCAGTGCCACAGTGTGTTTGTTATTTGGTTTGTTTCACCTTTCTTAAATATTTGACAGCACATTTAAGTAATTAAAAACTTAATGTCCACAAATATCATTTGCTTTAGTTATTTCTTTATAACATCAAAATAATCAAAACACCAATATTAAACAATATTCCCTTTTGTCTGTTTCTCTTTAGCATGGTCAAAAGAAACATAGAGGAAAAAACTCTTTGTAAATTATCATAAAGATTCTCCTAATCCATCAAGTATAAAACTGTAAACTTAATATAATGAACAAATTTCTTCAGGCATAAAAATCTATTTTTTAAAATCTCACTCCCAGTAGGATTTAACAGCTTTTTAGATCTAAGAGGACATCCAAATAAGACTGAAAATAAATGACCAATATTGTGAATTTTTCAAAGTGATAATTTTCTTAGACTCAGTCTATGTCCATGCCATAGAATTGGAGAATCCCAAGAGCTGGAAAGCAGCTTACTTGTTCCAGTCTAATCTCCAACACAATAGGAAAGTCCCTGCAATGGAATCCCTAACACACTTCATTCAGTAGCCACCTGAGTGTCACCAGTGTTGAAGAGATTGCTTATTTCGAAGCAACGTGCTGTATCACTAGAAGAGGAATGTTAGGAAGAAAGACATTTTTTGTGTTGAACACTTACTATGTGCTGGAGTGGGCTTCAAACAGGTTTCAGTTTTGCAAGTCAGAAAGAGGTATTCGATGACAATGTAAGAAACAAAGACTTTCAGGTTCAGTTAGGAGACTAATTTTAAAGCATACATGATGATGAATGTTTGAACCAAGTATATTAACAAAAGAGATACAAAGTGTGTGGTGGATGTGGAAGGCAGTTTAAATGGAATGAGCAGGAGTTGTTGGGGTTTCCATTCAGTACAAAATAACTCAGCCATTTTATTTTTAAAAGCATGCCTGCGTATGAGATAGACTTGCTCTGGCTCTCCGACTAACTCCAGCCGTAAGTTAACAACAATGACTGTTAATACAATAGCCAACATTTATTGAATGCCTATTACATGCCAAGCACTCTTCTAATCACCTTTTGTGTGTTTTAAAATTGATTCCTCACAACTCTATAAGTCTATTATACCCTTTTTAGGCCAAGGGAACTGACACACTGAGAGCTAAATAACTTTTGAGACTACTCAATAAGTGGTAAATCCAGAATTCAAAGCCAGGTAATCGAATTCTAGAGTCTAAGCTATAGTTCAGCTGAGGACCAGGGTGAAGGAGGCTATTTCAGACAAGGATAAAAAATAAAGATCATACTGAATAATATTACATTTAATTCTCATTTCCCCTCCTCTCTGTATCCTTTATTCTTTTTTCTCTCCAGTTCGTTGTCTGTCAGGACACAGAATGACAGTCTCTTTATTATGAATCTGAATGACTGGGTTTATTTCTAAAGACTTCTCTTTAGGGAAGACTGTCTCAAAAGAAACATTACCATTTATTTTCATGAGAATGCAACAAGCGTAAGTAATTAAATGCTGTGAAGACTTTTAATAATTTCAAAGCAAAATGCTATCATTGAAGTTTTTAAAAAATATTGTTAGACATTAACATTTAAGTAATAGATTTCTGATGCTCTTATTTTTTCCATTTGTTCATTATGATTTATATTACTTAGATTTGGGTTATTAAGACATATACTTCTAAGAAATACTGCATTTATTCAAATAAATATATTCATTGTTCACATGGTACTTCATAAAAGTCAAAGAATTACTGAGATATAAATTATCTTATAGATTATCAAATGTTCCCTGGTTATGTAGCAAACAAGGAACTGAGCAGTTACATATCAAGGGCTTTGTGCAAATTTCCAAAGAACTACAGAGGTGGAACAAGCACTTAGACCCTACAATCAGCAACCTGTGTTGAGAAAGGAGTCTGAAAATGTCATCTGCAGTGTTCTTGGCTAAGTGCTTTTCCTGCCAAGGCTTCAACATCCCTGGTTAGAAACTTTACACCTGCCATAGGAGTAAAGTGCCAGGTTATAAAACATGCTCCAGGCAGACCTTTCTAACCTGTGTGGCAAACTACTCACCTTTTGAGTTCTGATTGTCCATTTCAGCAAGCATTTATTAGATATCTATAAAGATAACAGAATGTATGGGGATGAAAACAGTGCTCTTGCTTTGGGTACTTGATGAAACACATGTATAATGTGGTGTGTAAAGTGCTATACTGGGTCCATGTGGAAATTATTATAACAGTGATTAGAGATTTAGAAAGCTCTTCCAGTCCCCTGGGATAATATTTGAGACTAAAATCTTCCCTCTTATTTATTGCTTCTAGTTAGGGGACTTGGCCTCGGCCCAGTGAGCCTCTGTTAATGACTTGTGTTGGGTAACAGAGGAATACTTTTTAAGTCAGAACAGTTAAGATGAGGACAGATGTTTCTCAACAAATCTCTGAGTAAAGTCAAGATCTTCCCACAGTGTAATGGAACTTTCATTTCAATCCCACCATTTAAGTCCCTTCCCAACATCTATCAGAATTAAAACTGGTAATAATGAAAAATCCTGAATGAAAGCTGCCTATAAATGGGCAATTCTGGATTTCCTAAAGTACTGAGACAAAATTCAGAGAAATTAAAAACACATAGGTCACAGAAGTTGCTTTTAGGTCTTGGGAAAAGGTCTAGACAAGATTGAAATATTAGCATATGCTTAATGTTTGTATTTTAGCAGATTCAGGCAATAGACTTCCAACTACTAAAAATGTCTTGCCATATGCTATGTAAAAAGTTTTTGCAATCAGTTGAGCTGGATTTTAATCTCAGATCTACCTACAACCATTACATAACCTTGGGATGGTTTTTAAATCTTTCCAAACCCCAAGTTTTATTTTTATCTGTAAAATAAAAATAATAATATAAAAATCCATTGTTTTAAGGTTAAAATAAATCATATATGTAAAATAGCTGACACTCGGGTAGTAAATAAAAATTATTTATTTTTTGTTTCCCCAACCCCTCCTCCCTTGCTTGAATGGTGAAAGATCTTACTTACCCCTGCTTTTGACTTATTCAATACAGAAGATAACTCTTCATTCCTAGAATATCCAACCCCAAACACACTACAAGGATTATACATCCTTGTTGAGGACACACCACTACCCAGAGACACTCTCCGCGAGGAAGATTTACAAAATTCAAGTCATGGTCCTCTGCTCTTAGAGGCCCAGATTCCGATCCCTAGAGCCTCCTCCAGCCAGCATTAGCAGTAAAAATAAGGCTTTTCACAACTACCTTAGAACTTAAGGTCTAGCAGCACACATTAGGCTAAAGCTA